TGACCAAAGACTCAAACGCATGTACACTGCTAACTGTTTAGAGCTCCTACACAATCGACTTTGGAGCTGTTTTTATATTTTGACAAACTGCGAACATTACTCTGTATAATTAGGTGATTTTACTAACCCATATTACAATCAAAATGTCTGCAGTTCAGCTAATTATTTCTCAGTTTTTGGCAAGCTTTTCAACTGCTGACTTACCTCCAGTGAAAACAGCAAACATAGCAGCACCATAATGTCCTTCTTGAACAGGATTCAAGCAGAACGGCTGCCCCGTGGTGTACAACACACTGATATCAGCATTGGCGACAATTAACATGATGCTGGCGCAAATGATGAAGTTGAAGGCGCACAGCCGCCAACCTCGTCCGCTAGGCCTGCCTGGAGCACTTTTGAAGAGGCGGTACACATTTCTGAAAACATTGATTGGGTTCTTTGGAGCTTTTTCATTGCTGGAACTATCTGTCTGAATTGCGGTGTTGGTTGATGAGCTAGACGCGTAAGCACGCCTGTCAGGGAGACAGAATATGATGCAGCAGCCACAGATGGCGATCAACACAATACCCACGTAGAAAGGCGCGGCAAAACCATAGAGGCTGATCACGTAGCCAATAGCAAACTGGATTAAACTGTTTGACATAGTGAAGGAAATATCGATCAGAGCAAAGCGGGTTGTCCTCTCTTTGCTTTTGGGGAGGGTAACATCAGAAATGTACCCTGCACAACCAGTCACAACCAAGGTCAAATCACCCGACAACCCGACAATCAAACTCCCCGCCAGGAACACAGCAAGGGGCAGCTCAAACACCACCACAATGGCGCTGATGACATAGTTAAGGATGAGCCCAATGCAAGGAATGGCACAGAGGATATGCCGACCATAACGATCGCTAATGCCACCCCATATATTGCTCAAGATCAACACCGGAAACTGAATGCAGAGGGTTATGTACAACATCCACATGGTGCTTTGGCGTTGAATTTCCACCTGTATATCATAATCAGGGCTGGACTTGTTGGTCAAACAAGTTGTCTCCGTGTAAGACTCAACGCCCAAGTCTTTTGCAATACGCCTCTCGATATACTGTGTCTTTGTGGGGCTACTAAGACCAGACGCCAAATTGTAAACAAACAAGACATGCTCAGCAGCTAGGTATTTATAAATTCCTCGTCCAATAGCCATTGTGTGGTCAAGTAATATTAGTTCCTCAACAGTTGGTCAGAAAATGAATTGACTGTATTTCTAGGGTGATTAACCTCACGATAAATTAAACTTGTGAGTTGTGACAAGCAACAAGTCGGTTCTCATTGTGTGATGGCACAAGGTCTTGAACAACCAATTCCTGAATAAAAAAGACAGAGGCTGATAAAGAATGTGGACTAAAAAAACTTCTTCGTGCAGCCGTCCAAAATGTCTGAATCTTTCAACTGAGGCTGAAAAGAACACACATGTATGCCTTTGTTTTGACAGCCAAAAGCTTCATGCAGTTCCCATCGACACGTACATACCTCCTATTTTCAGAACTGTAAGGGTCATGCAAACCTCTCACATAGCTGAAGCAACATGGAGGTAGGAACACATGTACAAACTCATATAAACCATAGACCTGGAGCAGAAAAAAAATGGACTGCCAACTCCAGCGGGCGCTCTGCACATTGCTTGTAAACATTGCTTGTCTGGTGGGGTTTTTTCAAGGGGGAAAATGTTACAAGTTCCTTTGTTGAGATCCAAGTATTTTAACAATTTTTGTCACAAAATAGTTTTAGTTATAGTTCTCTTACACAATTTATACTTAATGGGTCATTTTGTCAAGTTCTTCCCACGTACAAACTTGTGTAACGGGCCCAATACGCAAAAAACGGGCCAATACCCATTTTTTCATCCCCA